TAAAAAAACAATCCAAAAGATCAATGAAACCAAGAGCTGGTTCTTTGAAAAAATCAATAAAATAGACAACCCCTAGCCAGGCTCACAAAGGAAAAAGGGAGAAAGCACAAATACACAGAATCATAAATGAAAGAGGAGAAATCACAACGGACACAGCAGAAATCAAAAGAATAATCAGTAACTACTATGAACAGTTATATGGAAACAAGTTTAACAATCTAGAGGAGATGGACAAATTCCTACAACTCTACAATCACCCAAAGCTAGATAAAGAAGAAATAGAACACCTAAACAGACAATTACAAGCAGCGAAATTGAAATGGTAATTAAAAACCTCCCCAAAAACAAAAGCCCAGGACCTGATGGATTTACAAATGAATTCTACCAAACATTCAGAGACGAATTAGTGCCTATCCTTCACAAACTCTTCCAAAAAATTGAGAAGAAGGGACAATACCAAACACGTTCTATGAAGCCAATATTACACTATACAAAACCGAATAAGGACAACACAAAAAAGGAAAACTATAGGCCAATCTCCCTAATGAACACTGATGCAAAAATCCTCAATAAAATTTTAGCTATCAGAATCCAACATGTATCCATAAGATAATTCACCACGACCAAGTTGGATTCATTCCAGGGGCACAAGGATGGTTTAACATCCGAAAATCAATCAATGTTATCCAACACATCAACAAAAAGAAATATAAAAACCATATGATAATATCAATAGATGCTGAGAAAGCTTTCGACAAAGTGCAACACCCATTCATGATAAAAGCCCTTGAAATTCTTGGGATACAAGGAACATACCTCAACATCATAAAGGCCATCTATGACAAGCCAACAGCCAGTATCATTCTCAATGGTGAAAAGCTGAAAGCAATTCCATTAAGATCTGGAACAAGACAAGGATGTCCACTCTCACCACTGCTTTTCAATATAATACTGGAAGTCCTAGCCAGAGCAATAAGACAAGAGAAAACATCCAAGGAATCCAAATAGGAAAAGAAGAAGTCAAACTATCACTATTTGCAGATGATATGATAATATACATAGAGAACCCCAAAATCTCCACAGAAAAACTAATTCAACTCATCAATCAATTCAGTAAAGTGGCAGGATACAAAATCAACACGCAAAAGTCAGTAGCCTTCCTATACACAAACAATAAATCTGAAGAAGAAGAAATCAAAAAAACCACCCCTTTTATTATCGAAACAAAAAAAATCAAATATTTGGGAATAAATCTAACAAAAGAGGTAAAGGACCTATACAAAGAAAACTATAAACACTGTTAAAAGAAATAGAAGAAGACACAAAGAAATGGAAAGACATCCCCTGCTCATGGATTGGAAGAATAAACATTATTAAAATGGCCATCCTACCAAAAGCAATATACAGATTCAATGCTATTCCAATCAAAATCTCAATGGCATTCTTCAAAGAAATAGAACAATTATTGATGAAATTCATATGGAATCACCAAAACCCCGAATAGCCAAAGCTCTACTGAAAAAAAAAGAAGGAAATGGAGGCATCACACTCCCAGACTTCAAACTATACTACAAAGCCATAATCATCAAAACTGCATGGTATTGGAACAAGAACAGACATACAGACCAATGGAATCGAATAGAAAATCCAGAAATAAACCCACAGATTTATGGTCAACTAATCTTTGACAAAGGAGCAAAGACTATGCATTGGAGCAAAGAAAGTTTGTTCAATAAATGGTGCTGGGAAAACTGGGTCGCTACATGCAAAAGAATGAAGCTTGACCACTACCTCACACCATACACAAAAATCAACTCAAAATGGATTAAAGAACTAGACATAAGACCTGAAACCATAAAATACATAGAAGGAAATATAGGCGAAACACTACGGGATTTGCACATCAAAGACATCTTTACAGACACATCACCCAAAGCAGTGATAGTGAGACAAAGATAAACAGCTGGGACTACATCAAATTAAAGAGCTTCTGCACAGCAAAAGAGACAATAACAAAAACAAAGAGAAACCCCACCAACTGGGAGAACATTTTTGCACCCAACACTAATGATAAAGTGATCACAAAAATCTGCAAAGAGCTGATGAGACTCAGCAACAACAAAGAAAATAATCCAGTCAAAAAATGGGCAGAAGAGCTAAAAAGAAACTTCTCTGAAGAGAAATGCAAATGGCCAACAGACATATGAAAAAATGTTCAACATCACTTGTAATCAGGGAAATGCAAATCAAAACTACCATGAGATACCATCTCACACCAGTGAGAATGGCACATATTAAAAAAACTAGCAACAACAAATGTTGGCGAGGATGTGGAGAAAAAGGAACTCTTGTGCACTGTTGGTGGGAGTGCAAACTGGTCCAACCACTATGGAGAGCTGTGTGGAGATTTCTGGACCTACTAAACATAGAGCTTCCATATGATCCAGCAATTCCACTCCTAGGTATTTACCCAAAGGACACAGAAACATCAATTCCAAAGAGCACCTGCACTCCTATGTTTATAGCAGCACTGTTTACAATAGCTAAGCTTTGGAAACAGCCCAAATGCCCAAAAATAGATGACTGGATCAAGAAGATGTGGTACATATATACCATGGAATATTACTCAGCATTCAAAAAAGATAAACACATGCAATTTGCAGCAACATGGATGGCACTGGAAGGGATCATGCTCAGCGAAATAAGCCAAAAAGAAAAAGAAAATACCGGATGGTCTCACTCATAGCAGGAATCTAGAAAACTTAAATAAGGGACCAGGAAAATGAATATAAGAAAGTGAAAATCAAAATCAACAAAAAACTATGAACCAGAGACACTTTTTGGGGGTGGGGGCGGGAGGGGAAGGATTGGGGTCAGAATGGGGCGTTTGCAATTGTATGGGGGAATATAAAAATAAAATTTAATATTTAAAAAAAAAAAAAAAAAAAAAAAAAAAGAAAAAGAAAATACCGGATGATGTACTTATAGCAGGAATTTGAAAACCTAAACAAGGGACCAATTAAAAGACTAATAAATGGGCCTCCCCTGGTGGCGCAGGCGGTTGAGTGCCGCGCTGTGAAGCTGTCCGCAGCCTCTGCAGTTCCAGTTTGATCCTGGCTGGCCGGCGAGGGTCCCACATGGCGCAGCAGATCTCTCCTGTCGCGCCCGCTGCTCCCCTTAGCAGTGTATTTCGTCAGTCTGCCTGTTCTGTTCCCTGCTCTGTCTCTGGTGAATCCTCTCACCCTCCCGCACATCCGGTCTGTGCACTGGTTCTTGTATAAATAAATTAATTAATTAAAAAAAAGACTAATTAATTCAAAGTAAAAATCAAAATCAACAAGCAACTATAAACCAGAGACACACTATGGGGGAGGTGGGGGTTGTAGGTGGGTGGGGTGGGGAGAGGAAGGACTAGGGTCAAAATAAGGGGGGGGGCAATTGTATGGGGAATGTAACCAAAATGAAAATGCATACATTGTGCAAAAGTGAAAAATTATGTAAGAATTATATAAAATAAAAAATATTACAAAATGAAAAAAAAAATCAATGTTCTTCTCTTTGCAGGTGATAACTTCTAGTAGAGGAAAAGTAACCAATAGACAGTTCTAAGTCTTTTGTAAAGATTAGAAGACACTGGGACAGCATAGTACAAGGGGAACTGCTGCTTCAAAAGGCAATTTATTGGGCCTCCCCAGTGGCGCAGCGGTTGAGCGCTGGGTTGCGAAGCTGCCCGCGGCCTCTGCGGCGCCAGTTCGATCCCCAGCTGCTCCCCGGCCACCAGTGGAGGGTCCCACATGGCACGCAGACCTCTCCTGCTGCCCGCTGCTCCCCTCAGCAGTGTACTTCGGTCCTTCTGCCTGCTCTGCTTCCCGCTCTGGCTCTGGTGAATTCTCTGTCCCGCGCTTCTGAATGTACCCAGTGCATGTATAAACAAACAAACAAAACTAAATAAATAATAAATAAATAAATAAATAATAAAAACATGCCTCTATTAAAAAAAAGATTTATAAAAAAGAAAAAAGGCAATTTATTTACATGAATCAAGCCCACCTCAGGCAAAATGAAAGTTGTGGCCAGATATGTCCTTGTCTGGCTACTTGCTGTAAAGCACCCTGTGCCTTCAGGCATGGATGGCAGCTCCTCACATCCCTGAATGTTCAGTGCTGCTCAGGGAATCCTGCGTGTCCTCTCAGTTCTCCTGACCCTCCCCCTCCCTTCCATATTCTATAAACTGCTTCCTCATCTTTGAAAATTATGATTGTCCCCTCAGTCCCATTCTTCTCAAATCCCCCAATGCAATTAATTTTGAAACCATCAAATAAAATAAATCTATGATATTTTTCCATAAAACACAAAAATTAACATTTTATTGCCTCTAGTATTGACTCTTCAGTGCATGGCTAAGTGTGCTTCCAAAGTTAAAGTTTACACAAAATTTTGAAAGAAAAGAGTGTAATTTCCAGTAGCAATGAGTGATGATCTGTGACACCAAGTATTTCCTCTACAGCATTTTGGCTATACTGGCCAAAGAACTATGAATATTTATGCTTATGTTTAGAAAGAATACATTATATGTGCTCTGCTCTTACTAACCCAATGCTAAACCACACTCACACTATCCATATGGAAACTATTAACCACGGAAAGTGCATCCTCATTCTGTTCCTCCCACTAATAGTCTCACGCTACAAGAGGAGTTTGTGTGGGGATTTATGTATGTTTACTCTTACAAAAAGTAAATTATAAAAGAATCATGAAGATTAATCAGGATAATAGAATAAGTTAATTTGTCAGGTAAGATCAGTAAAGAAGAAAGGATTAGCAATTTCGTTAGGAGTAAAAAACACTCATCAGTCACAGAAGATTTGTGCCCTTGGAACTGTGGAGAAATGGAATGTGTCTCAGAACTCTCTGGCCCATCTATCTCTGCTGTCCCAACAGATACCAGCCTCCTAGGAAATTTCCATTCCCTCCTACCAAGGAAAATGTACTGACCATACCTGAGCAGATGACTCCTGCATCCTCGGAATGACGGCAGTTGTGTTCCCCCCAGCCCTGAGACGGGCAATTCCACACGTGGGATTCCTTTCCTGTGCACTGCAGCTCATCCAGCCAGATGCTCCCTGATCCCTTCCCGAAGTGAGCAGAGACCATGGCATTGAGGGCGTCTCCACAGCCCAGCTGTCTGCACACCACGTGGGCATCACGCAGATCCCAGCTGTCATCACAGATGGTGCCCCAGGAGCCCTGGTGAAGGATCTCCACTCTGCCGGCGCAGGGATGGCCTCCGTCCACCAGGCGGAGCTGTGTGCTGTCTGAGGAGAGAGAGTAGGGCCAATGGGGCATCTCATTGGGAAGGAGAAGGCTTTCCTGGTCCTGGGGGACCTTCACCTAAACAGTTGGCAGCGTCCTCCGCTAAGGCTGCAGAGCCTGCTGGTGGAGACAGTGCTTGCACTCAGGCAGCACCTGGTTTCTTACAGCAGGTACCAGAGCAATAAAGGTGAAAATAGGAAAGAACAGGAGAAATGTAGCTGAAAACAACTAGTGAGCAGTCTGAGAGAGCAGGTGTGACCAGGTCCTGTCAGAGTAACCCTGATGTAGAGTCTGCTGGCATCTGAGATGTCCAGAGATGTCAGAATCCCTGCCCTGAGCAGTTAAATTAGTGCAGAGTGGCTGTAAAGGACTACTAGCTGGTGGGTTCCTTATAAATCACACCCACTTCCTGGTAATCAAATTAAAGGGAACTTTTGTGAGCTTATCAGAATACTCATAGACAGCCATGAAACCCGTTCCAGTGACAGCTTTGCTTGGTATAGTCACTCGCAGCTGGAAATTGAATGGATCATGAGACAGGCCATGATTTACCCAGAGTATTTCATTTATGGTTCTAGGCTCCAGAATGAACTTCTCTTTGAGTAGTCGGGGCCACCTCACTTGAGAGATGATGTCAGATGAAACTAACATTGGCCAGAGACACTGGGCATCAAACATCTGCTTCCTCCTCAAAACAATATAATGTCTACTTGACTTCATGTCAGGGATTTTCTTTATTTAAAATTTGGAATTATTCATTTTGTAGGGGAAAGTATCTCTAATCCCACCACACAGCAGAAACAGGTTATATTCCTGAGCTGAAAACATTCAAGCAGTTGTGACAGATTCTCTGTATTATTATTTTCTCCTTTTGATAAATGAAAAAAGTGATACACCCAGAGGTTAAATAATGTGTCAATATTGCAATTTAAGTAAATGATGAAATAGAGATAAAAGCTAGAGCTTCTGCTAAAATAAATAATGGAGGAGTTGTAGGTTTTAACTCCATTCCATGACTGAATTAAAGTAAGTGCTGGTGCTGGAGGGTGAAATAGGAGACTTGAAGGCCATGTCCCTAGAGAAGGTCATCTCACAAATATTTGCCCAGTGCATGTGTTGTGAGGGCAGGAGGCCAAAGCATGTCAAAACTCTTGGAAAGCAGAGTGGCTATTCCTTTATTCTTTTGGTGCTGAGCTACCAAAATATCTAGCCTTACATCTGAATTCTGAGTTCCCAGAATGCCCTTTCCACAGGCATAGAGATAAGCAGAGATAGACTGAGTGTCACCCAAACTTCCAGTGAGGCTTGTTCCAGCTCAGGTCTGGGTTACAGTTCGATATCTGGGTGCTCAGCAGCCCCTGCCTCACCTGCCTAGCTGAACAAAAGATGATGCTTCCAAGTGTCAGAAAATATATCTGGTGTTTCCTATTTTTTCATACACAAATTTTAACATTAAATATAAAGTTACATGGCACATAGAAAGATGGGCCCACATGACATAGTGAAAAAGAAAACAATATAAGAGAAGTTAGAAACACACACAATAAATACGTTGAAGTTAGCAGATAAGAGTTTTAACTATGATTCATGGATTCAGTGAGTAAGAGGAAAAGACAAGAAACAGTTCAAAAGAAAAGAATTTAACATAGAAATGCAAATATATTGAAGATATCAAAATAACAGTTGCCAACTAAAAACAAAACATCAATGGGTAAGAGGTGAATGAATTAGTTTAAAACAATTTTATAGAACTCAAGACAGAATTGTGAATTAGAGGAGTCCTAGAGAGGAGGGAAGATGAAATGAGGAGAAGGGAGAGGAGGACAGACAGAGACAGAGAACAGTGAAGTTGTATTTGAAGAGATAATGGTTGAGAATTTTAAAAACATGTATGAAAGCTATGACTCACATTTTCAGGAATCTCAGAGAATACCAGGGAAGATATGAAATCCCCAACACCTTGTAAAGCTGATAAAAATCAAAGCAAAAGAGGAATATTATTGTTTAATGAAAAAATAAGACCTAAAATTGGAGAGAAAGGGCATGTAAAGCACGTGAGTCAATTAAAAGTAAGTGGTAGATACTCACTCAACCATATCAGCAACTGCATTTAAAGTAAATGGATCAGATACTTCAATTAAAAGCAAATCAAGATAAAACAAAGCAATTCAAGTGAATGTTACCTGTCTATCAGAAAAAGGCAAAGAAAGTTGAGAATAAAATGATGGGAAAATATATATACTATGGAAACATTGTTAAAACACACATTGATGAATGTCCTATAGACCAGATGAAAGTTGTAGGTGACTGGGAAGACAAATTTAAAAATATTCCCATGACTCTCTTCTATGAGACAAGCCTTTATTAAAGTAGTGACTTCACATTCAGAAAGGATGACAGAGAGCGGCAGGTCTGACTGCGTGTGCCGAGCTCAGGGGAGAGTCAGTTGCTCTTTGGCACCTGATACCAGGACTGCAATTAACAAGGAGATGGGGCAACTCGTGTGAGCCTTGTACTTGAGTCATATGCTTTTTTTTTTTATTTATTTATTTTTATACAGGCCAGATGCACAGGAGGGTGAGAGGATTTCACTGGAGACAGAGAGGGAACAGAACAGGCAGACTGACGAAATACACTGCTG